AAACCATCTAATGAACTACCATAAACAGCGGAGCCTAAAGGGAGCTTTGGTGGCCTAGTGGCAGGAAGCTGCACTGCAATCCCAGAGGCGCGTGGTTCAAATCCACCAGATGCTCTGCTGGAGAAGGAGGAGCAATCTCCTCCTGTACCAGTCAGATCTGCTTTGACGGTTGTTGTTGTTGTTATGTGCCGTCAAGTCGCTTGTGGCTCATAGAAACCCTATGTACAACATCCCTAAACTCTGCTCTGTCCTGTGCCAATCGCACCGTCTCCAATACACCCATCCCGATTACCCCAGTCACTGAATCAATCCACCTCATAGGGGGCTTTCCCCGTCTGCGCTGTCCCTCCACCCTCCCAAGCATGATGTCCTTCTCCAAGGACCTATCCCTCCTTGCAACATGTCCAAAGTATGTTAGACAGAGACTTAGAATCCTTGCCTCCAAGGAGCAGCCCAGTTTGACCCTTTCCAGGATGAATCTGTTTGTTTCCCTAGCAGTCCATGGTACCCTCAATACTCTTCTCCAGCATCACAGCTCAAAGGCATCAATTCTCCTATCCTCCTTAGTCATTATCCAACTCTCTGATGCATAACAAGTGATAGCAAAGACCATGGCCTGTATCAGACGCACCTTAGTCTCCAGAGAGACACCATTGCTCTTCAGTACTTTGGAGAGGTCCCTAACAGCAGACTTTCCCATGGCAATATGTCTTCTAATTTCCTGGCTAGTGGTGCTGAGAGTGTTGACTGTGGAGCCAAGCAAATTGAAGCTGTGAACAATCCCAATCTCTTCACCATCTGGTACACACACAAAAATAATAAAATTGGGGGAGGGGGGAAGAGCAGAGGCTTGAACATCCTGTGGGATTTCTTCATTTAGTCACACAGGGTCACTATTAGTTGAACGTGACTTGATGGCACCCAACAACTACAGAATGAAGCAAAGAACTGAGCAGAGAACTCTCAAATTGTCATGAGCTTGGGCTTGCATTCTGCCAAGAAACCTATCTTCTATTTCCCCAAGTCAATCTTTAAACCTTGAAACTATTCTGGGATTGACTTGCAAAGAAAAAGAAATGCCACCTTGGGACACAACACATGCATGTGACACTTTAAAGAGAAACAATCAACAATACAAACCAGCTCTTATCATTACGTTCTATAAACATAGAATGTTGCCTTTATCCTTAGGCACTTTTAACACCAAAAGAGGTCAAGAAATTTAAAGAGCTATCAAAATTAAAAGAGAAACTGAAGGGTAATTATGACAGCTAATTATCTCAAGCAAATGGTGACTATGGAATAAAAAGGTGTCTTCAGGCTGTGTACCTAGTTAGAAGTAGAACACTGCAGATAATTTGGGGACCAGTTTTGTACACCTCCACGGGAAGTAATTCTAGGACTGACAACTCAACAGAGTAAAGGGGGATGGCTTTGGAGACAGTATGCATTATGTAGGCCAAGTGTCAGCTGGAGCAAGACTGGATTTTATAATGGGGAAGTGACACAGCTGAGGAATGCCACCAAATGCTAATGAGTGTTATCTTGTTAATGAGGTCACACAAAAAAAAAAAAAGGAAGAGAGATGAGATTTATCTTGGAAAAATGAAGGCCAAGAGGGATGGTCATAAATCTCTAAGATTACCAAGCCACATACTATTGAATCCAGATTTTTCCTGTCAAGCTCTGGGCCAAGGCCATCTTTATAACCTTGAACAAAGTACCTACTTTACATTAATTACAAGGGAACACATTACACAGCAGAGGTGGGATACCAACAGAGAACATGAGTTCTGGAAGTGTATTTGGTCTTGCCACCTCCCAGGTGACTGAACTGGAGCAAAAGCTTAACTTTCAGGCCTTGGGTTCCTCAGCTGAAAAATGGAGGTACCAACAGGACCCCTCTCCTGACGTGTGGTGAGGACTGTAATGCAGGCAAAGCACTAACAATCACAAACCCCAAAATCAGGCCTGTGACACGGCGCACTCAAGAAAGGCCAGCTAGTTATCAATATACTCCTAGAGTTCACGGCAAAACCCAAGACACAAATTGATTTTCTCGTAAAAATGCAGATATATTTAGGGATGTGAGATCAATAAATGACTAACAGAATGAGAACACACAGTGTCAGGGTAAATGGCGTCTGCCCAGGACAAAGCAATAAGGAAAGACCCATTTACCCTAAATTGATGATTTGAGACTATTAGAAAGTAGCACTGTTTATAACTATAACCTTTTCTTCACTACTCTTGCAAAAGGCATAAAGCAGGACAGGCCTGGACAGAGAGCGATCGAGCTGCGGGCCGACTGGCATCCTTAGACACTCCACTGTGATCCGATGTGCCACACTGCCCAAGTTCCTATTTTGGGTGAGGCTTTCTAGGATTTCACATTAGAAAGAGAAAGGAGGGAGAGTCAAGGGCTACCAACCCGATTTGGGTTGAGGGCCTTTTCTCTTTCACCCCCTCCACCATGGGCCTTCTTCAAAGTAGGTCTCACTCCTTATTTCCCATCAGTGCCCAGCGTGCTTCCATTATAGTCTATAGCAGTTAGCACGGTTTCTAAGTATTTTAGTTGCCTGTGTTTTTCCTAAAGTCTCCAACACAAGACAGCTCCAAGATGGCAAAGCATCCTCCTCAGTTGAGCTTAGCACATTGACGAGCACGTAGTAGACAATAAATGTCTAAGGAAGCTCTGGTGGCCTAGTGGCAAGAAGCTGCACTGCAATCCCAGAGGTATGCGGTTCAAATCCACCAGATACTCTGCTGGAGAAGGAGAGGCACTGTCCTCCTATACCAGTCAGATCCAATTTGATGGTACACACAAAAAAAATAATAAAATTAAACATTAAAAGAATATATAAATGTCTAATGGAATAAATAATCTGGCCTAGTAGTAAGAAGCTGTGCTGCTATCTCAATATCTAATTCATCAGCACTTCCAGGGGAGAAGGACGGATGATTTCCTCCCATGGGATTTACGGACCCTCCAGAGGGTCAGCTATGGGTTGGTTCTGATTTGACAGTACACAACAACAGTAAGGCCGTTCCTCTTTCACTTAAAAATAACTACTAAATACTGTGTTGTTTTTATGTTTTATTTTTGCAAGTAGTGCCCTCAATATGCCAGCCCTGACCTTTAAGTTAGCAGTTGACATAACCATTGTGCCATCAGGCCTTGTACCCAGGATGACGGGGAGGTTTCCACATCCTTGTGTTATCTAGGAACACCTCTTACACCAACCTGGCTGATGTAATCCATTGATGACTAGCTACTTCCTTAACAGTGACTTTGTAAATTTTCATTTCAAATTTACCTTACTCATGTCAGCCATCAGTGATGTAGGCCCAGACTTCTTACCAGTAATAGGCTGGTGGCATGAGAAGTATCTGGAGACCTTACTGAAATACAGATTTGGGGATTATGCTCCAAGATGTTTTAATTTGGCATTTGTGAAGAGAGGCCCTGGTAACTATCTACTGAAAAGTTCCTTTTTAAAAAGTGATATACTCATTCAGGATGTCACTTAGAAATCACATTTAAAAAAAAAAAAATCACAGCACACTTTTATATCTATTACTGTCCATAAGCTTATCAGGTTTCTTTTTCCTAGAAGTCACCACTTTATATACAAGTCCTTGTATATCCTTCCAGCTAATTTTTTACGTAAGCAAACACATCTACATCTTCTGCTTTATGCACACACTTGCATATTTAAAGGACTGTTTTAACCTTGTCTGTTTTAGCTTTAATTTGGAGATGTCCGTATTTTTCCCCCCAAGCAGCTCTGGTGGCCTAGTGGTAGGTAAGGAGTTGTACTGCCAACCCAAAGACAAGCAGTTCAATTCCACCAGCTGCTCCTTCAGAGAAAGATGGACAATCTCCCCCTATGTAATTTACACCCTCCAAAAACCTGCTGGAGAATCAGCTAAGACTTGGTTTCAACTCGACAGCACTTAACACCAACACCATATTTTTTTTAACAAGTATTCTAGGTAATGTGATGGCTGAAAGGAGTAAGGCAAATCTGAAATGAAAATTTACAAAGTCACTGTTTAAGGAAGTTGCTAGTCCGCATTGAATTTATCAGTCACGTTGTAAATCATTCACTGCATCTGAGGTGAGAAGTTTAAATTCAACTCAGTACAACACAACAGAAACTTAGAACATGGAAAAGATGCCCATAACCCCTTATCTCACCAAAATGAGTATTCTACAACAGCCTCCTAAGGAACCAGGGAAAAAACTAGCTACTTAAGTGAGTGTCGCTAAGAAGGGCGTTTGTTGCTTTTATTAAGTTGTGGACTTAAGATGTCTTCTCAAGAAGAGCACCTGAACCCACATTCGACAATTCCTTGTTGTACAAGACACTTTGGTTTGGGATTGTCACGAGATCGGATCTACACTGCTCTCAGTTGATTCTGTCTCCAGCAGTTAAGCAGTTTAATAGCAGCGCCCAAATACTTTCCTTGTATTAATCCCACTTAGACCACGGCATCCAATCCTTCTCCATGAACTGCATTCTTACCATCTGGTCCGAAACCAGGCACTTAGATAGAAACTGTTGCGAGAAGCTATACTTGTCAGCTCTAACTGTCAGCTATACTGGGTGAGTTCTGGAGTTGGGGATCCCGGCGAGCTGGGTGGACGATGACCGCCAGGTGCGCCGCCCTCCCGCCCACCCCAGGACTGCAGGAGAAAGACGGCGGGCAGGCTCTCCGCAGTGTCCTGCTCTCCAGGAGGGCAACGAAGGGTCCACATCCTTCGTCCTGGCTTTAGGGACTCCCGCTGCGGGAAGGTATGACCCCTCCCCATCCCTTCGTCCAAGATATAAACCCGAAATTGGGACGTGGGGCTCGAACCCTGGAGTGTCCCTCCGCCATCTGGGCTTCTCTCCCATTGTCAGTGCGCAGAGGGTCCCCCGGGCCCGTGTCCTCCCCACCCGGGGTCCACGCCTCCTGGCTCGGGCCCCGCGTCCCACCGGATAAAGTCTCCTCACCCAGCATGATGGGGCTGAGCCGGCGGGCCAGGCCCTTGGACAGGTCATACACGTAGAGCTTCACCGGATAGAGGTTAGGCGACTCCATCAGTGCCCGCGGTGGCTGGGGCCACACGTCCTTCTGCACCTGGCAGTGGCTCAGACCTTCCCGGACCCGACCGGGTGGGGAGCGGAGAGAGCAGGGGGAGAGCCCGGTCGGGTCAGGGGGACGGGGGAGAGGCAGCCCAGCGTTGCTCGAGCGCCTGCACCAGCCACCGGCAACGATAACTGTGAGGTGACAGAGCAGGGACAGGGAGGGTCCGCGCGGAGTCAGTGCGGGGGCGGGGCCTCCCTATGCGCATGCGCGCGCCGACCTCGGGACAGGGAGGGGCGTGGTCTCGCTGCCGGGGGCGGGGCTTTAGCCCTCCGGGGTTGGCGTCATTTCAGGGCGCGTGTAGCTAACGCTAGAGGGTAGTGGGCGTGTCTGGCTGGATAGCTGTGCGTGATGACGTTTCCGACGTTGATTGGGAGCGAGAGCGGAAGTCTCCTCGCGCGCGCCGCCCTAGCTGGGGTTCAAGTTGTATTTTCTGCACTAAAGGTAAGCAAAGGCGGGCTTGGTCTGTGTGCAACTTGCTGTCCGATAGGAGCTGGCCACTTCCCGCTTCACGTACTCAATGTCGCGCTCCTCCTTTAGCCCCGCCATCGACCCGAAGTGCCTAGATAAGGGTTGAGCGACTCTGGACCCGGTCCCTTTTCCCAGGAGGCTCTATCTGGTCTCTGAAGGCCTCCTGCGGTGACCCCTCCGCACGTGACTGGCCCAGGGTCGAGGGTTTGAGTGAGATCAGGATGGAGTATCCCAGAGCGAGAATCCTTTAGAGTCCAGCACAGGAAAGCTGGCGTCAGGCTGCACTTACACAACCACCAAAGGGACCACCCCCTGACCCTGACGCGTCCTGAGGGATAGTTAATGTGAGGCTGCTGCAGGAATGACCCCCATCATCACTTGCCTCTGCATCAGCGCTCGGGAGCTGCAGGTGCAGCGGGATCGAGTCCTCATGACTGATCTCTGGTCCTTAGGACACATGTCAAAGGAATCTCCCAGTCATATTCTGACTATTTACGGGTTTTCACTGATTTAACCTTTTCCGTAGTGAGCAGTACCTACTATGTCAGGCTGGGCGTCTTATTACAAAAACGAGGGAGATGAAGAAGAGGAAGAAGAGGATGAGGCTCCTGAAGCCGCTGGTAAGGGACTTGAATGTGTGCGAATCTTTGTGGAAGAAGGGCTTAACTGCCTTCCTGCCGCATGGTTTTTCCTGTCTAACAGGCCTCTCTGCTCTCCTTAGACAACCCCAAACCCTAGCCTTCCTTTGCACTTTATTGAGCCCCTCCAGGCTATTTTTTCAGCTCCAGTTCTAGTCTGTGGACATCCATGGCCTGAAGCTTTTGCTGGGCACTGGTTCATTAACACTAAGATAGATACCCTGGAGTCAGAGCTGACTAAGGGCTGACCCTCCAGCGATTTTCAAAGGCTGTAAATTACATGGGAGGAGATTGCCCATTTTTCTCCAGAGAGAAAGATGCCTTTGGGTTGGCAGTGCATCTCCTTACCCTCTAGGCCACCAGAGCTAAATTAACACCTAATAAGTCCTGGTAAGTGATCCTGACCATAGATGTATGTCATCTTAAGTGACTCAGCTGAGAGCCTGACACATCTTGGAAAGCAGTTTTATTCACTGCAGGGCTTCAGTAAAAATGCCTTCTATTTACAATTGTAGCATCCCAAGAGTGGCACAATATTTTCAGGGAGAGGCATTTCCTCTCCTTAGCCTACAGCTAAGAAGCCCTGGTGACTGAGTGATTAAGCAAAGGACTGCTAATGAAGAGTCTGTGGTTCAGATCCACCAGCTAATCTTTCTATGAAGATAATTCCCTCACCTTTGAGATGATGCAAACTCAAGGACCCTATGGGAAAGAGTAGAGTGGATCTGTAGGTGTCCAAGGCGGAAATCTACAGAATGGGACTGCCACAGGTTTCTCCCTGGAGAGGCTGGTGTATTCTGTTTTCTTTTGGCTAACTTGCCAAAAGATGAAATACTGCACCACCAAGGCTCGAATCCTATGGGACAACTCTACTCTGTCCTGCAGAGTCCCTGTGGCTTGGAATCACCTTGCTGGTGAGTTGAGTGAGTGAGGTTTGTCCTTCAGGTTTGGGAGTGTGTATTCAGGTAACACAGGAACAAATAGAACAAAGAAATGCAGCATGCATTCTGTATACTGTTTAACTCTTGGGTGGAAATAAGTGAAAGAAAAAAGTTCCAATAAGAAATATGAACAACAAAGAAAAGATATAAATTAATATACTTTTCCACCTTAATGCAACTATGTTTTGTTTATTTTCCTTCTATGTATATTTTTTCTTTTACTTATATAATCTATTTTTCTTTCTGATTTTTTAATCATTGTAATCCTAATACCTGTCCAAATTTTTCCTTTAAAAATGGCCCTAGTCTTATTTTTGAAAGGATTTAAAATATATATTATTGTCGTTAGCTGCCATTGAGTCAAATATGACTCATAGCGACTCTGTGAACAACAGACGTGAATCCTGCCCTGTTCTGTGCCATCCTCATCATTTCTGATATACTTGAGCCCATTGTGGCAATCACAGTGTCAGTCCATCTGGCTGAAGACCTTCCTCTCACCGACCCTCTACCTATTCAAGCATGATGTCTCTCTCCAAGGATAGCCTTTCCTAACAACATTCCCAAAGTATATGAGATGAAGCTTTGTCATCCTTGCTTCCGAGGAGCACTCTGGCTGTACTTCTCTAGGATATATCAGTTTGTTCTTTCAGCAATCATGGGATATTCATTTCTCTTCTCCAACAGCACAGCTCAAAGGCATGTGAAGTCATGCGTTTTCATACATGTGAAACAGTTGAAATTACCATGGCTTGTGTCTGGTAAAAGTGACATTTGAGGACCTTAGTCCTCAGTGACATTTTTGTCCTTCAGCCACCACAAAGTGCTGCTGTACAGCAGTTTTGCCTAATGCAACATGTCATTAGATGTCTTTTTCTTTTTAATATTAACACATTGCCACAAATGACGGCAAAATGTGTTTCTAAGCACGGTCATCAATTTAAAAGTGTGCGGCAACATGTTAATTTTAATGAAAATTTAGAGACTTTGGATTTCCATTCATTCATTGTTGTACTTTTCTCCCTGCCCCCCGCCCCCAGTTCACTCTTCTCTTTGAAAAGTAAAAGAAAGGGGAACTCTGGTGGCCTAGTGGCAAGAAGCTGCACTGCAATCCCAGAGATATGTGGTTCGAATCCACCAGATGCTTTGCCGGAAGAGGAGGGGGCATTTCCTCCTGTACTAGTCAGATTCAATTTGATGGTACACGCACAGAGAAAATAATAATTTAAAAAAAAAAAAAGTAAAAGAAAAATTCTTTCATTGTTATACAACACACACACACACACACACCGCCATACAACACACACACACACCCCCGCCCAAATCCACTCCACTCTGCAGCCATTCTGGACTCCTATCATGACAATAATACCTAATCACATAGCACTTTTAAACAGTTCTCTCCCTCATCTGTTTCAATGCAGTATACATCATTTAGTCATTAAATGTCTTGACTGTTGCTTCCACAGGCCTTGATTGTGGAGCCAAGTAAAATGAAACCTTTGGCAACTGCAGTGTTTCTCTCTTTATCATGTTATTTATTGGTCTAGTTGTGGAGATTTTTGTTTTTATGCTCAGGGAGACGCTGTGTCCATGCTGATGGTTGTGGTCTTTGAGCTTCATTATTAAGTGCTACAAGTCGTCGTTTTCAACAAGCAAAATGATGCCATCAGCATATCACAGGTTGTTAGATTCCCCGCCTCCCCATACTGTGGTCTCTTTGATTGAGTGCATGTCTCAGATTATTTGCTCAGCGTACAGATTGAACACCCACTGCTGTCCCTTCGGCTCCAACGAACAGTGACCCTCCATCAGGTTTCTGAGGTTGTAAATCTTTATGAGAGGACACTACCCATCTTGCTTCTACCGTGCAGCTGGTAAAATTCGAACTGCCGATCTTTCTGCTAGCAGCCTGCTACATTGCCAACTATGCACGAGGGTTTCTTACACGTTGAATATTGTTAACATAGTCGAATGTGTACCATAGTCAGAATTGATCCATAGCTGACCCTTTGGTGGATTTTCAGAGGCAGTTAATTGTCCAGTAGGAGATTGCCCATCCTCCTGCTGAGCACCTGGTAGCCTCAAACCTTCGGGATTGCAGCACAGCTTCTTGCCACCTGGCCACCAGGATTACATTGAATAGATAAGGTGAAAGGCCACAACTGATGCAGACCTTTCCTAGTTCATGCAGTGTGCTGTAACAGTGTGTGAGGGACTACCTCTTGGTCCATGTGGTTACAGTGAAGTGTTTTGGAATTCCCACTGTTTGCAATACTTTGTAAAATTTGTTATAATCCAAATAGCTGGAGGCCTTTGCTTTATTTTCTTGAGATGTTCTTTGAAATCTTCTGTTCAGCTCTCTTATTTCATCATTTCTTTAATTTGATTTAGCTTCTCTTTGTCCTAGAACAAGTTTCAGAGTTTCTTCTGGCATTCATTTTGGTCTTTGCTTTCCTGTGTTTTGAATGACCTTCATATATGATGACATTTCACAACTCATCTAGTTTTAGTCTTTGTTAGTGTTCAGTGTGTTAAAATCTGTCCTTCCAGTGGTCTCAAAATTCAGATGGGATATACTCAAGGTCTGGGGATTTGTTTTCATTTTCTTCAGCTTCAAAACTTGAATATGTGCCCCCCTGTTGTCCCCCCCGCCCCCCCACCTGGTGAAGCCACAGAAACACCCACAACACAGAGCAGGAGTTGCCCTAGGCTGAGACAGGCTCAGGAACAGAATCTGACAGTGATGAATTAGTACCAGACCTTGAGGAACAGGATTTCACACAGGCAACCACACAATGAGCAGCTGGCAGCTGCAGCTGAAATCGATGAAGAGCCAGTCAGTAAAGCAAAACAAAGTCAGCATGAAAAGAAGGTGAGGAAGGCGATGTCCAAACTGGGCCTTCGACACTTCGCAGAATCTAAGAATCTCTTTGTCATCCAAAGACAGATGTTTGTAAGAGCTGGGCTTCAGACACCTACATAGATTTTGGTGAAACCAGGATTGAGGACTTACCTCCTCAAGCACAGATAGCAGCTGCTGAGAAATTTAAAGTTCAAGGGGAAGGTGTCTCAGACATTGAAGAAAACATACAAACTCCAACTCTTCAAGAGGAGAGTGAAGAGGAAGCAGTTGATGAAACAGGCATGCAAGTTAAGGACATAGAATTGGTCATGTCACAAACGTTTCGAGAGCAAAAGAGGTCAGAGCACTGAAGAACAACAGCAATGATACTTTGGAGCCCTGAAGAACAACAGTACTGATACTGTAAATGCTTTTGTGAAATTTATAGTGTAACCATCTGGGAAAATGAGGACTTTTTTTGTATTTCAAAAGAGTAGCTGCAGTGTGGTTTGAAAATTGTACTGTTTGTATCAGTTAATAAAGTTATAGCTTTTTTTTTTTTTTAGTTATGGCTTCTTGTTGGATGAAAACAAACTAAACCAACCTTGAAGCAGTTGCTATATGAGCAGTTGGTGGTCTCTTCCACTGTTAGTCACTCACTGCTTTTTCTGATTTGTGATATTGAACCACCTTTTCTGATCTTTACTTTATTTGATTTATTATCGGGGATCCAGCCCCGATATGTCGGGAGAATTCCACCAAAAGGAGGCACCAGGTTGAAATGAGACTAATTGCTGATAACAAATAGCAAGTTTAATATTCTGGCAAGGGTATATATACAGTCTTAGGAACATGCCTGCAGGGGTAAT